TATCATTATGATCGGAAATTCCAAAAGAATATTGATCTTGCTTTTATAATTTCTACTTTTCCAAAATGGTTATCTTCAGTTGAATTTTAATAGTTGTTTCTTTGCTTCAAAATTAAGATTTGTTGATAGAAAAGTGAGAAAGCGATATATTTTATTGATTAATAAGCAAATGGATATTTAACGTAGAATTGTTTGTAACGTCATGCTTCCAAGGAGATAGACACTGGGAATTATTGTGTAAGTCGGAGGGAGCTGGATTTCCACGCGTCATTACGCGATGATCGAGTCATGAAAATCGGCCGATTATTCAAACGAAACCTCTAACAAGATTCCCGGCAATCAGCCGCCCTGTAATGATCCCCCAGTCGTCAAAGAAAAGGATCCTTTTCCGTGCTCGATTCACCCAAGGAAAAGGGTTTTCCCCTTCTCCGTTTGAATTTTGATACTCACCCTTCTTCTACAGAGACGATTTTATGTGGGAATTAAAGAAACATCATCTGTTCATTTATTTCATTCCCCGACTCATGAAATCATCGAATGTCATAGTAAGATACTTGATTAAAAAGTTTAAGTTAATGTAAAATCATAGAAAATAAGCCAGTGAATAGAAATTGGAGCATTTGCTATAATTTAGTAGCGTGCGAACAGTTTTTGGTAGACGTAGTTCTTGAAAGCATCGGTCAAACGAACTGTGATCGCAAGGGAAGAAATTCATCTAGGCGAGCAAAGGTTAAATTCCACAGCCATTTATGGTATCTAATTAAACGTCAGATAATATTGGTGAAGAAACAAGCGAGGAAAGGAAAGAGTAGAATGAATTTGAAAAATTCCATCGCTTCCGCCTTTCGCCTTTCCGCCTCGCCTTTTCCATTTCCTCTATTCCTCTTCCGCCGCTGTTTCCCTCCCGCGAGCGTTCGCTCGCCTCGTTTTTACCCGGGCGATCGCAAATTTATTCCGTCGAGTAGGCGACGGCGTCGGACGGAATCGCAGTATTTTATACTCGTCGAGAATCGATAGACAGCCAAGCGCGGATATGGAAGCAATATTTTTTCCCTCGTCGCGCCTAGCCTCCCGGACCCGTTCTCCTGGGCCCTCTTGTCAATAAAGCGAGCACTTTCCTGGCACGAAGTTTCATTATTTCTTTGCTCAAACTGACGACGTTTCTCACCCTCCAAACCCCATTCTTTCTCCTTCTCTCTCTCTTGCTTTCTCGCCGTGGCCAGCCCCGTCACTCCCTCGACGACGTGACCTTTTAAAGATAACTCTGGAAAAGTTGGTTAGTACTTCGTTGACCTACTGATAATGGGGACGTCTCGCTAATTTTCCATTCACTTCCATTTTTTCGCTCTCAAAGCAAAGATACAGTATTTTTCTGTTGTAAAGTCATTGGGACTAAAAACTCATACTAATCATGTGTATATTACACTCTTATATCCACATTATATTAGTATTGATTTCACGTTCTATCCCAAATCATATTACGTTAATAGAGACTATACAACGTGATGTCACATATTTTCGTATGGAATATTTGATCAATAACGATACGATTGAATTGATGAAGTACGTATAGAGATCAGTAGGGCAACGTTAGATGAAAAGGTGGTGGATAACGAGACAAACACGGCTGGAAGTGAGAGAGGACGGGGATGCGCTTTTGTGAAATGATTGAAGACGGTAGACTCGGGACGTGGGGTTGTTGCGTGTTTTCCTTTGACGGGAATCGAGAGACTCTTGAAAGGAAGCGGTCCCGCTTTGTTGTTCGCAGATCGCGTACAATGATCCGTGCAGGTGTACCTGTATTCTTGTGGAAGTGCAGATTGTTTACGTAGTCAGGTGTTATTTATCATTACCGTACTTCAATATATAGCATCATCCTTGGGACTAAATATAATTTAACAAATACTATAAAATGCGATCACACCTCGTTGATAGTTATCAAATTTTTATCGTAATTCAGTTGTCAACATGAATTTCTACTTTCTTGATTTAATAAACAGACTAATTTGTGTTGTTATGATTAAAAGCAAAATTTAAGGCAAGCGTCAGCCGTCTTGAAACAGAGTTTGCTAGCTCGCTACCGATACTTCTTCAAAGTTAATCCCTTTCAGCCTGCTCAAACGAAATTCCGGTTATCCATTACATCCGCGGCTGAAACCCCGGCAAAAGGTCTCGGGCCCGTGAAAAACCGCAAGCAGAAGACGGACGCCTCCCTTTCACCCTGCGCGGTGGTTAAAACCTTGCCAGGTTCCTTCTGTGCGATAGGGGTGAGATTTTTCGAGACTGACCCAGACGCGGCCGCGGGGTAGATTGGCGAGCCAACTTTTGGAATCCTCTCTCACGACTCGACGTAGACGTCGGAGGGTTGGAAAAAGATTTAGAAGGCGGTGGCGAGGAACCCCCGTTAAGGGTTGGGGGTGGAGCCCAGAGTCGGAATCAAAGGAGTCAAAAGAGCTTTTCCAGGCTTCTCTTCCCTCGGTTCTAGCTAGATTGAACTTCTTTTCCGCTCAGGAGTTTTCCTATTACTCCGAATTTCCCAGCCGCACCGAACGCGTACACTCTCGATGTGTGACTGCTTTCAACTTTAAATAAAATGTTTATCGACCTCTTTTTAAAGAAAAAAGTTACCAATTAGTAAATTGCGAATCTTTATAGAAATATTTCTAAACACATTTTGGAAACGGAATGACGAATGAGGAAATTGAGGAAAGCTATTTTTGAGTTGCAAGTATTTATTGGTACATTTTGCATGGAATTCTTTATTAAAAGAAACGCGGGCGAAACCTATCAAACTTGAATCAATTTAAACTTTGAAAGAGCTAGGCGCAAAACTTCGGCGAAACGTATTTCCATTTTGAGGAAACCTTTAAGTAGCCTCTTGTTTAAAATGTAAGAGTTTCACCGAAGGGAAAGCGTCTCACAAAAATAAAAAGGATGAACATTAAAATTAATTCCCCGCTTCCGTTACAGTGTAACGCGCGTGGAATATCAACAGTTTCGTTTATTACAGATATTTAGAATAAAGCGAGAGAGCGACGGATTGTTTAGTCAGGAGAATTTTTAAAGAATTACGAGACAGCTCGAATGAATGAAGGAACGTCGTTCGCGTCGAGGGCGTCTCATTACTACCTCCACTTTAAAGCGACGTTTCATCGCCCCTCCGACCTCTCTCACCGAGCAGCCTAAGTAAAAATCAATAATTCCTTTATCGTACAAATTAACGTTAAGCATATTCCACCCTCGTGTACAGGCACCGCGACCAACGTTACACCGTTTCCTGCCGCCCCATCCTGCATAATATCACGGCGGCCGCGTTCCTCCGATCCTGACAGACCCCTCTCCTCGTTTCTTCCGTCAAAATTAAGATTTCTATATTACAACTTCATACACTCCTCTTTAAAACCGATTGAAATTTTATATAATATACATACCATCTCTTTAATTTTAGAATTAAAATATTCTATTAAATATGATACAGTATTAAAGGTTTATATTCCACATTTGTGGATTAATTATCCAGCCAAGATTTGAAAGAAATTAAAATCTAACAGGAAATGGATTTTCTTTATTGATATTACGCTAATCTAATCAAGTGCATTAATTCATTACGTTGCCTATCGAGCGAGGAAAACCGGCAACATTAAAACTTGAGAACTATTCAATTTCAGCATCGAGGATATCTTAATCTCGCGGCTGCACGAAATCGTATATTTCAGTGGTAAAAAAAAAATTACGGTACGTTGTTGTCGGCTTGTTAATTCCGATAAGCGTTCCTCTTCTTTATCGCGCGCCATTATGGCGAACGATAGCCGGTGCCCCGGGACGGGAAACGAAGCACCGGGGGTTTTGAGAGATTAACGAAATAAATATGACATCGTCTCGAAGGTGGCTGTGGCACGCCCGATAACGAACCGTTCGCCATTAATTACCGCGCTCTGAAATTATTTAACAGCCTTACCCTGAGCACGCGAGCCAAACCGCGAATTCGTCGAGTTTAACTCCGGCCCGAGATGCATTAATCCAACAGAAAATTCTCTCCCGCGTTTACATTCTTCGACTGTTCTCGAATTAATTTCCTCAATTGCTCCCAATAGAAAAATTACGTCAGTGAAAGTATGCAATCATCTTTGCAATTTAAAAAAAAGGGCAGAGTCGATATTTTATTCACACGTTGAAACATTTAATTCTATTGATTGAAGAAAACAATTTATACAACAGGTCGGTATTACCGGTGGTACAGTTCAACCCTTTCGCATGTCTGTACGCATTTTTCATCGCGAGCGCGACCACAACAGAGCCGTATCGCGTATCCCAGTTCTATCGCGGCGCGTAATCAGCGTGCCGGGCAAATTAATTTATCCGTGCACGTAGATTATTAGACGGAAAGTCGGGTGCGCGATTCATTAAAGTCGATCGTGTAAATGGTGATCGAACGATGCGACGAATGGGACGAGATACGTCCGGCTATTACGCGCCGCGTTATCGAGCTTATGCCGGCGGCGCGAGGAGGAGAAGGACGCGCGGACCTAAAATTCCACCCACTCGTCACGGGCTGACGAATAACACGAGATGCAGGACGATAACCGTTTTAACTGCCGGCTAACACACTACGCGAGCCTGGATTATCGGGGCCTTATCGGTCGACATTACGGACGTTGGACGTGGAGAAAACGAATGGCTCACCCCGCTATAATGTTCGCTCTTCTATGTGTGCGTACGCGTGTTTACCTGCGAGTAGATTAGGATAACGAAGGTACCGGGTCGTCGTTATTCAACCCCCAATATACCCTCGTATTTCTTTTTCTCGGTTTGCATAACTGAAAAAGCTTGTGGATATCGTAATCTGAATAATAAAAAGAATAAATAAAGATATTTAATAGAAGTTTTGTTCTGTGTAAAAAAAATGAAACTGATAAAACTCCTGCTCCTTATATCTCATTAATATGAATAATGTGAATGAATTAATGTCTTAAGATAGAATTTTTGATTCTCTGTTGCAGGTAAGACTGAGAGTTCACGGAAGTTCTGATGCTTTTGGTTCTGATGACCTTGACTCGCGAGCTAAGAGGTTTATCTCGGTAAACCCTGGTATCTCGGAATACCAGTCGGGTTCCAGATCGAAGGAATTAAAGACGGGGTTGACGGACGAGACGACGGAGGACTCGAAACGGGGTGGACAGAGACGAAGTTAGAGGAATACTAGCCAAGAGAAAGGGAAAAGAGACTGTAACCGTACGCCCGTATAATTGATTGAGTCTAATGAGTTAAAGGGGAACTATCCTCGAGAGGGTGCTGGAGAAATTAAAGAGTTCTGAGTCGTGAAGGCCGCAACCTTCCGGTGACGGAGAAAGTGCGAAACTTGGCTGTCTACCCCGTCTCGCTCTTTCTCTGTCCCGTCGCAAGGCCGCTGATTGCGAATTAGTTAAAGGAGATGCTTCATTAGGATCTCGATTCTTGAATTCTAACTGGAGGAAGAATGAACTCTTCTCTCAGTATTCTGAATTAATAGTGAAACTCTTTTATTAAATTCTTTACTTACACAAGAGCGCTTAAAAAAAATTACAAGATTTTGTTCGAAATAATGTTATCCTGTATGAAATACAAATCTTCACGTACGATACAACATCGTTGCGTATAAAATGGTTATTTTAATAATCGCTGTTGAATATACACAAATCCTCTGTATTCGTCTGCTAAACGGGAGGAGGAAATTATAAAAAAAACAACGTAGCTATATGGCAGTGATCCTGGCGGATCCGGAGACGCAATCTCATTCCATCTGCGCGATATTACTTTCCGGTCGCCGCGAAACAGTATCCCGAGGATGGGCGGCGTGGCTTTTCAATTTGCCTTCTCGCCGTGCAAAAAGAAAGGAAAGAGGCCACGAAACGGGCGTCGGTAGAAAGAGGTGGCGCGGGGTGTGGTGGCGCAGGCAAGAAAAGAAGAAGCCGCGCACGGTGTCTTCCACATCCCCCAGGGAAATTATTGACAGTCAGCGAGGAAATGACGTCGTAAATACCACGTCGGAGGTCCTCGAACCCTCTTCGTCTTCCCTGCCAGGCGCCACCTTCTTGCGCTTCCTCTCCTCGCCTAATCCCCGCTCCCTCCTTTGTTTCCTTCGCGCCTTCGTCCACCCCCGTTACGTCGAATTGATTTCACGCATTAGTTTCCTACATTTCTCGTGCCCTTGATTTTTATTCATTTCCAAGACGTGGATCACCTTATGAAATTTTAATAATCATCGTTTGTTTGTAACGAGTAAATCATAGTCCTATAAAAAATTCAAGAGGAATTCTTGTTCCTCTTTTCGTGAAAAGGTCTGACTTCAAATAAGAAATCTGTATAATCTGCAACCATCATAAACTCATTAATTACCGACGTATCAACGTAATAATTGACGAAGTAAGAAAAAGCACTGAGAGAATTCGTTTTTGTTTTCACTCGACCTATCCCTGTATCTGGTATCATCCGTAGTCACGGACAGGGGGTAGGGGGTGAACGCATTATTCGCGGAAACGATCCTTCTTTTCGCCTCGCGACCACGAAGAAAACCCAACGAGAAGGAGCCGCGACGCGCGAGGAAAAACGGCCGGGAGAGGATTACGCGTCGCTGGTCGAACGAAGACCGAGACGTATTTCTTGTTCGGGGACGGAACGGAGAGGAGAGAAGGAGGGTAAGGGTCGGGCGGTGGAGAGAAACGGAAAAACGGGATCCGTCGGGGCTAAGGGTAGTTATTATAATAAATTTGTCGGGGATTTAAGAAGCGGAAACAATTCAGAACTGCGAGTGACTCTAAGGATGTGCTTATCGTTGCTTTTATTCAAATGGGAGTGGAAGGCGACGAGCTGCGCCGGATGCGACCTGCATCTCCGACGCCGCTTTTTCTGTTACCACCATCCCTTCTACCTTTTTTCTGCTCTTTCTTTATTTTCACTTCTCTCTGTCCGCTTTTCAAGAGACAAAAATGTTTCTTTTATGAAAAGAACGTGTGAGGTACACGCCTTCAATTTTTTTTTATTCAGAAGTATCTATTTTTTACAAGTAAACAATTCTGGCTGTTATCTCATAATTATTATCTTGTAACTCGTGCATACTTTTACCCTCTTACCGTGCAGAATTTCCTCAAGTTACAAACTGCTATAAAAGCGTAAGGAACAGGCTCTAAACCAAATTGTTGCTCACGCGTAACTTCACGAGAGAGGCGAACTTGACCATCTCGGGCAGCAATTATTCGCGCGTGGATCTCGTCGATAAGCCGAGCTTTCGACCCTTTCGTCTTAACGACGGGCTCACGTGAGAATAAGGGCCAATGAAACACGGAGAACGTTAAAGTTTAAGCATCGCGTCGTGCCACGAGGAGAAGGGACGAGTGATCCCCAAGGACCACCGTGATCACGACCGTGTTTACGAGCTTCTTCGGTCATTAACAAGCAGCGACGTCGCAGAGGGTGGTTGTCAAGATAAAAATGGGACGTTTCGATTGGGGAAAAAATCTTGCTTCAAACCATTAAATAAGATTCTCATATATTTAAATGAACAAGACTGGCTTCGCGTTACGTCGTTTTATGAGAATTGATATTATTTGTAGGACAATTTATTAACTATTTGCTCACGAATTGCTTGTATTTGAAGATTCTTTCGTCCACAATTTTTAAAAGGAATAGTATTTAAATTCTGCTTAGTTTTTGATAATATTTATCAAATTATATCAGAAAACTGTACATATCATTATTTGAAGCAAATATCTGAATTCTTATGCACTCAAAATATTTTATATTTGGAACAGAAGATTATGCAGCCTTTAATTACATCCACAAACTTGTTTCTTTAAACTCAAGTGGTCAATTGACCGGTTTATTTGCCGTTTAAATTTCTGATAAGGACTGTCCGAACTCCCGAGCACAAAGCGAAGAGCAAATCACCGGTGGAGGGTATTCACCGGTCCCGGTCAGAGTCTTTTATCTTTTTGCCGCGGCTGATATAGTTTAGGGCCGCAATAAAAGCGAGGACCCGGGGCCCATCGATTTACGGCTTAATTAAAACGCGCCGCCGTATTGCGTCGACGAAAAACCATCGAAACCGTTGTCGCTTGCTTAAAGTCCTTTAAATACGAGCCCGCTCGTTGTTTCGTTTACAGCCGGTCTTTCCTTTATTCTTAACGAATGGTGACCCTCTGGTTTTTATAGTCTTCAATGAGAAATAGAATTCTACTTCGCTGTGTTCTCTGCATCAATTTTTATTTTCATAGAACAATATTTATTATTTAATTACAAGTTGTACTGAGATTTATTATTTTTTACATAAAAAAATAACGCATAAAATAATTGTTTCATTAACTAGGAAAGCGTGTACCGTGTTTGGTTCTCAAGTTACGTGGACGGTTTTGTTTCGAGGCTGTGTACACAGATACTTTTGTACACACAGGCATCTACCGGCGCGTTAGTGGATTTTTCGTATTATCCCGGGCGACATAATATGGAGGTTTATCTCGTGGAATCATGGTGGCTTAGCGCGGTGGCTAAGGCCGGATGGTTTCTTCCCCCTGTAAACCGGCCGCAACCACCTCGGAGGCAAATCCTCCTCGCTGAAGACAGCGTCGCAACGACGTCCTTCGGGCCACGCGTATTATGCAACATACATTTCCCCCCCGGCCTGTCTCCAATTTCTCGTTTCACCCTTCCCAACGTCGCCACTGAATTTCGTGTGTACCAACAACTTGACAAGGTTCGCTAAAAAAATATTGCCCAGGCACGGAAAGGAGGAATTACTGTTAAAATAAATATGAGAAAAATGCATTTTAATTCCCATGTTCCCCGACGATTGACTATCAATTGCGATGCCTAAATCCTATGATACAAAATCTTCCGTTTTGCTGAAAAATGCGCATGATTGTCAATTAAAATATTAAATCTGATAAAAGACGCAGAAACAAAGTTTGGCAGTTTGAAACTTCTCCGATTATTTCGATGCCTTAGATCTCCTCGCGTGTCGTTGCGAACAGGGTAAAAGTTTCACGGACACAATGCAGCATTGAACCGAGGCGACGCTATGGCAGCATCGTGGAAACTCCTCGAAGGGAAATACGTAAGGGTGGCCGGGGAAAATCGTGAATACGGTAAGAGGGATGACCCGTGAGGGGTGAGGGTGGCCGGTGTTATTGATTCTAATGATATTTTCGCGCCAAGGGCGACGCCGGGGTGTAATTGATATCCCGTAAGACCGGTTCCTGTTTCCCTCTAATATCTGTCCCATCTCCGTCAGAAATGAATGAACTCTTCGTCGAAACTCACACATAGATTTCTTGCCACATCAAAAATCAGACAGAAATTCTACTTTCTAAACACACATATACGTATATTAATTTTGACATATTACATGTTCTTATGCATTATTTTTATTCTTGCATAAGCTTTTCTGTAAATACGTGGCAATCAAGGGAACCTCGTTTAAAAGTAAATTATTCCACCCTACGTGAAGAGATTAATGACACGGAAGATTTGGTAGATCGTTGCGCGTTTGTGCTAATCCAAAACCGTTTGCCATTTCTGTTCTCTTCCGGCATGGGCGGTGCAATAACTTCGTCTGACAGGGCAAATTGCGGCTTCTCGGATGGAAAATAGAGCCGTACATCTTCATGGTCCGGTTAAACGGTAGAGGAACGAAGAAGGAAGAAAATAAAGTGGGGCCCGGTGCGTGCAGCCGTACAGATAATCTGTTTAAGTAAAATATTGAATTTTCACGCGCGTGCGTACGCGGAAAGCTCGCGTCGCCGTGTCCGATGTAATGGTCGCAATTCAATTGTGCCGCGGGATAAACAAGTCCAACGAGCATTAAATAACCGGGCCCTATTTGGCGCTGCGAATTGTCGCTGCCAAGTTGGGAACCGGCCGCGTAAGGTTAAGCCGCCGTGCAGCCGTGTACCGGGAATAACGAATGTTACACCGTCTTTGAAAGGGATCCGCGGTTTCATGATATCTTACAAGGGTATTGCTAGGAAAAGGAAGATTAACCAACCACAAGTATAGTGTTCTAATATCCAATTACAAAAATTGCACGTTTATTTAATTACACGTTCCGCGTAGGAATTCCTTTTAATTTTGTACAATTGGAATTTTTACAAAGTCACCCATTATCATCTATTCGTTGTCTATTGTCACGTATAAGAGACACGGGGAGAAATATAAAAAATACACTATGAGAAATGCAAATTTTATTTTGTGAATGTTAAATCGACCGTTTAAATGAGCAGCCCTATTTGGTCGTGCAAATTGTCAGCGGGACGGTCGAACAAGGTGCAAGGAACTGAATCCCCGTTCCCTTGGGAGACGGTACAAGGGCTATTAATCCGGTCCTCCGGAGGCGGCTACATAAACGGCCACCGTTTTCTATCCGGCGACGTTTCTATGGACAAGCAGCAGCGAGCCGCGTCATAGTCGCGTCTCTTTGCAAACCGATGCTTTTCATTTTCTTTTCTTTTCTTTTTTTTTTTCCTCCTCGTTCTCTGGAATCGATGCGCCGCTCTCGGCCAGCTGTGCGATGCCTACGGGCATTGTCGCAGCTCGAAACCGCGGCTTTGTATGCATATGTAAACGCGGTTTACCGCGGTGTAGAAATTGCCCCGGCCATTGTACCGTGGCCATT